GATAGCCTCTGGACACATAGTGTTGGTTTGAATACTGTGTCTAAAGCGAAGATGTATTCTGTCACCGTTAAAGCCTGGAACGGGCAAAAACAGGTTTGTACCGAAGCGTTTTTCTCAGATTGCCTCTGAGCAGTAGTGTCGCAGACTGACTGAGCATGCGCAGTAACTATTTCTTTTCCCAAAATATAGCTGAAAATCAGACGGAAGTAAATATACTTATGCAAATTATATTCATAAAATAAACACGTGTATTAGTTGTATTTATAAATAAAACTTTTTCAGTGCTGAAATTATATACTAAAACAATTAATCGCCTCAGGCTTGGTGATTACAAGCCCATATTCACGTCGCCTTCGGCTCAGTGAATGTAGGCTTGTAATCGCCTCCTCTTCGACGACTAATTGGTTAAATTGAGAAATTGGTAACGCTGAAGGACTGAAACTGGATGGACATCAATGTCAGCCATTCTCCACTTCTCTTCGGGACCAACAATTTTTGAATTTACATGGGTTTTCTTATAATTCACCCTTTTTAATAGGTGTGCTACCAAAATAAATATGGAATCATGCCTCTACCTCAACATGGCGGCTCCTATCCCTCGGCTACAGTTAACATAGCAGGAAATACGCGTGTCAAAGACTACTGCATGGCTGTCGGCGTGCAGAAGACAGGAACAACTGCTGATGGATGGACTCAGAATGCCAATGGATACGACTCGGCTAGGAGCGATTCTGATTGGCCAAATTCTCAGTACAACCATGTATCGCCGTATGTTACAGTGTGGTTAAAATGAACGGTTACAAAAACATCAAACGGTTTCTTGTTATGCTTTATTACTTTATAATCAACGTAGACATATATTAACCCATATTTTCAGCATGCACTGTCAATGCCTATTATACTACCATTATAACAATGTCTATTATTCCAGCACTATAATAAAATTTTTCCAATAATTTTACATCTTGTTCTCTCATCATTTAAAGATACGATTCAGTGTGTGAATTCT